CACTAGTTTCTCGCCAAGAACCTCACGATTTAGGGAGAGATTCATCAAATCGCAGTCGGATTTAGATTAGCCTTCGGAATCGAAATCCGACGGGACGAATTGCGATAAACAGTGTATTTGCCGGATGTTCGTGTGTCCCGACATCTATCCACATTTCCAGCGGGTCGCAATATGTTCGCGGTGGGTTATCCAGGTATGCTAATTTTTCAGTCAACTGGGCAAGCGACCTAGTATTACCAAAACACAGCAGCAATTTGCTACCAGCAATCATTGATTGCCAATCAGCTGCCAGCAAACATTGATTACGGATGAAAACGGGCAAATCCTGTATGTGTGCAGATCCTTCCAGATGTTTGAATATTTGTGAACGTCTGAACTGTCGTAGAGGGGCACTCATGCTTCTATATTGAAGAGCTTCAAGTCTCTATCCAGTCTACATTTCCGTCACTACTAAACGTTTCGACGGCTACTATATGCCGTGCTCTTCGTTTTCACCTCGGCCTTAACGCAAAATCTTGACAATGCGAGCCAGAGTGAGCGTTCCCGCTGAAATCGACATTTACTTGCCGAATCCATCATTGTGTGAGGAATCAACGGTAATGGGAGGATCATACGTCGTTCTACTATTCGTGTATGACTGCCCAAAATTAACGTGGAGCTGACCTTGCAGTTTGTCGGGCAATGGCAGACCCATTGTCGCACTAGCACACGTAACAAATAAGAAAAGCATCCCGCTTCGAAAGAGAAGAGGTAGCTACTTACCGATTGGCTCGTGAAGGAGCAGGACAGTGTGCAGGTAAGCGCTTGTTCAGGCCTACAAGCTGGGGAAGAAGCAGTCGGGCTTAGCCTTGTCGCTGGGGTTTTGGGTTGTAGGGAAGTATCTGACAATGCATCACTGATAACAGTTCTTGGATATGTCTGATGCCATCAGACATATGCAAGGTTTACCTGTGACACTCCAATAGCTCCGACGCAAGTATTTTACAATGGACGGACACTTGGTTTTATTTCGGTATGTGTATAGTGCTTTGCATCAACTTTGGCTTATAAATAGAGTTTCTAAAACAACGACTAATCTTTTTCGTGAATCTAAAGCTAGACCACACAAAAAGTCATCCATAAATCAAGTTAGTTTGATTGTTATTTGCAGCATGCCTCGCTGGCTCGGAAGTTAATATCAGTGTTAATAATATTATATAATATTCCAATGGCCAACAGCAACTCCGTAGTTTCGACAAAACTTCGGAGCCAAGGATGTTGACTGTCAATAAAACTACTGAAGACGGCTTAACAAAGTGGTGGTGAGCGAACTTGAATGTGATGAAACATGATGACAATATGTAACGGCTGACCAGTAATCGCACTGGTCACTGACCGAAATTAAAGAAACACAAGATGCTATTAAAAAAATAAGAACTTATACTTAATCAAGTTAAAAAAAATGGTTATACATTTTACAACAACCTATCTTCATGACCTCCGTCCTTCTCGGCACTTTTCAGATTTGAATTACGCATTTGGCGCACGATTATTGGCCATAAAAATAACATCAAGAGCTTTTCAAGGACAGTGTTTGAATTATTTGTCCTTGGAAAGTTCTTGATCTGAATTTCCAAATAATCATAAAAGATACTGTTCTATAGCCATTTCGCAATGTCTTCATTATCCTTTTAGTTGTCTTTCTTCCGGTCCACTGTAAGCTACTTCTGTTAATGTACATGTGATAAAAGCGTTTTTGCTGTATAAAAAATGTTGTGACAGCAGTATTTTTTTTAACGTAGCACTGAATTTACTGTTTTAATTTGACATCATCAAGAGTATTTATGGAGTGGCATTGGCCGCGTTACCCGCAACTTTCGAAAATTTTCAACCGACCGACCAAATCCCTGATTATCTCGGTTCGCAAGAGAGTACAATTTCGCATGGCCTTCTACGGTACTGTCGATTGATTGAGGATATTATACAATAATGTATTACAATCTGGTCTTATATTACTTCAGTCATTAGTAGTGAACGAAATGCTCAAAGTTTCCTGCTATTTCCGCAAGTCAGAAAAAATAATTAGCAGTGTGTATGGATCATAATAATTTTAGATTTTTAAAAAATGACTTTTTCATGAGGGGGCTTATATTCGGGCGAAAACGTTAATATCCGGGAGGTTTGCGTATCTCATGTTCACGGAGATTTACCTCAAAGTACATGCAGGCTGCATGATG